ATTGTATCGCGCACATACAGTTATCACACTCACTCAGCACATACCTGTACACGCACAGAGGCAGCTTCCGCCTCCAGCACCTGGATTTGATTCGCGGGCACGCCAAGCGTATCGCTAAGATCCTGGATAAACGACTGCTCGTCAAAATCTTCAATATTACCCTCCACAATAAACGTGGTAGGTACCGACGGTACGGTTGGGTCGGTCGTGGTAGGTATAGCTGCAATCTCACTTGTGCTGGAGCTTGAGGTGGTTGAGGTGGTTTCGGTAGTTTCGGTGGCGCTTGTCTCTGAGGTGAGTGTTGTGAGGACTTCTTCGCTGGACTCGATGGCCTGAGTGGGAGAAACGTGGAGGACATGCGAGAAGGTTGGTTTTGAGTACGAGATAAGTCAGTACTAGGAATAGAACGAGAAATACGATTAGGCAGTGATTACGGTGGACATACGAGAGGGGTGGTGATGATCACGAGATAAGAAAGTAATAGGAATTGATAGAGAGATACGTATAGGTAGTGAGCTCAAATGCCTGTGCTCGAGAACTAATCGAGGTAAATAATCGATTCATCATTGCAGATCAATTCAATCAGGCCAAAAGCCTCGAGACGTGCGACGAAAAAGGTGGTCTCACAACACACACACACACATATGCGCAGCAAATGTGCGTGCACACACCTCGGGAGATTCCTCCTCGCTTGGCTGCACAGCATCTGTGGCATCGGTAGCAGTCTCTGTTACAGCCTCGGATAAGCCTATCTCGCTATTGCTTTCAACCACGACGTCGCTTTCCACACCTTCCGTAGCGCCACTTTCAGTGTCAACGGTTGTGGTCTGTATGTCCTCTGTAGCCACAACATCTGACAAGTCACTGACATCAGACACGGTGGTCAGAAGGTCAGTCGTCGTCGTGACCGTCTCTGCACCGCCAGCACTGGCGCTCGAGGAGACAGTATCGACGCCATCGGATGAGTCGACGCCATCGGACGAGTCGACGCCATCGGATGAGTCGACACCATCGGTCAGATCGCCTATATCTGACAAAGCATCTGTCGTGGTTGAGATGGGTTCGGTGCCACTGGTGATCTGGGTCGAGGATGCCGTATCGACACCATCGGTAGTGCCAATAAGACTCGTTGAGTCGCTTGCATCCGTCAATGCTGACTGCAGATCGGAATTGCTAGTTCCCGTTTCAGCGCTATCGGTAGCCGGGGGAAAGGGAACGGTATCTGTAGTGTCAACAACACTCGTTAAGTCGGTAGTATCCGTCAAAAGATCGGTCGCGGTTGTTAACGTCTCAGCGCCACTGGTGATCGCGGTTGAGGATGCAGAGTCGACGGTATCTGTGATGTCAACTGTGCTAATCACATCAGTAATATCTGTCACAGTGGTCAAAAATTCGGTCGTAGTGGTTTCGGTTTTCGCACTACCCGGAATCGCGGTCGAAGAGAGTGTATCGACAATACTTGTCGTGTCAACAACATTTGTTAAATCGCTCATATCCGTCAATGTGGTCAGGAGATCCGTTGTCGTCGACAGCGTCTCGGCTCCGCCGGGGATTGCAGTCGAAGACAGCGTCTCCACAATATTAGTTGTATCAACAACCTCAGTCAGATCGCCTATGTCGGTCAACGTAGTCAGCACATCGGTGGTGGTGGCTATGGTCTCCGCTCCGCTGGGGATTGCAGTCGAAGATAGCGTCTCCACAACGTTAGTTGTATCAACAATCTCAGTCAGATCGCCCGTGCCGGTCAAAGTAGTCAACACATCGGCGGTGGTGGCTATGGTTTCCGCGCCCCCGGAAATCACAGTAGACGTGAGAGTATCAACCACATCTACCAGTGTATCTGTATCTGTTACTGTGCCTCCAATATCCGTAAGGGTGGACACCGTCTCGGCACTCTCAGGAATTGACGTCGAGGAAAGCGTGTCGACAACGTCGGTGAGAGTATCGGTTATTGCCGCTGTAGTCGATACTGGTTCGGTAGTGGGTAAGGCTTCGGGAGAGGGGACAGGTATAGCGGTGTCTGTGGCCAATAGGATGGAGACAGGAAAACTTAAGGTGAGCAAAAAAAGACAACGAAAAGAGGCATGCGCCTCGCCTGGGAATCAGAAAAATATTCACACTTCAATACAAGGAAGAGTTTGGGTACAGACGAATAAAGAGGCAAAGGGTTTCAACCCGCAAGTACCCTGCCAAACCTGGATATTGAAAACTAAGCAGTTCATAGGAAGCATTTTAGTGCCAAATACCGCCGACACAGCCACTCGCAGTACTATACGACAATGGAACACGCGTCAGGTGGACATAGATATACGAACGTAGCACTATTCTCGCTTCGCTCATGCATATCAGGAGAAAAACAAGTTGATAATTAGATTAATATGCAACCAGGTACAACAGGTGCGGCAAAAGACTGTCGCCAGATACGTACCAGTCGATGATTGTTCGAACGTGATCGTAGGCAAGTCCGGCCTGTGAGCAGTTGATAAAAAGAATGCAAGGCACAGAATCAATTTAGTATAGGATGTTGCAAAGAATATAGCATGACAATATAGCGAAGCATGTCATCCAACCTTAGTGACTAACTTCAAATTAATAGCCCGAATATATGTGCTTGTGCAGATATGTGTGTTAGACGCAAAGGCTAAATAGTTGCGGCATAAGACGAGCAAACGTGTATCATGTAGCACATCACGTGCATGTAATCAAGTAGAGTTCAGGACTTCGCATACACATCTCATTCTAGTTCCAGGTTCTTACAAGTTTTGATTGCACAAAAAAAAACTCTACCTCGGGAGTATACCATTCTAAGTCTGTGACTACACAACTCAGGCTGACAGATACGCACATCGACACCACACTACATACGTAACGATCGGTATGAGCGTTGATGCGTCTGCAGTAGAGGTTATTTCTCCCGCAGGTTCGGCATCACACGTGACCCCATCGCCAACAAAGCCGTCCTGGCAGAAGCACGTCCACAGCTCATTGATAGTATTGGGGGGCTGTATAGAAATGGGGTAGGTGTTAGTGTGTCAGGGTGCGTCTATTGGTGTGTCGACTTCTGTACATCAGATGGTCATAGCTGGAGAGGTGGTTAAACCGATTGAAGTAAATACATCGGACAATATGGGATGCTGGTCCAAAGTGCAATAATTTATGGTGGTTACCGGTGTAGTGCTTGATGGGTTATCATGTGTACGCATTGTATTCTCGTCATAAGCTGCAATGGTTTGGGGTGGTGTCCATTGTAGTGCTTGAATGCGTTGTCGTGTATACGTATGGCACTCGTTGCGTGGCCCTTGGTTCGGAGGTTGCAGATCACGCATAAACGAGATATTGGGGACGCAAATACAAGCAGTGAAATGCGCGCATGAAAAATTGACTTCTGAAAAGTATACGCCGACGACCAAATAGTTGTGACCAGCGATTGAAACTTCTGGTCCTCTTTCTCATCGTGTAAAATCAGCATGCACACCACAGTTTAGTCCTAATGGATGATTGTCGTAACTATACACGACGTACAGAGAAGAAGTATATTTTATGCAATACAGAGAAAGATTTGTATATGAATGGTAGATACAATACCATCAACCACTCTGTATGTATAGGCGTGCGTTAAACATATACCTTAAATATACAAATCTATACCCAAAAAAAAGCTATAAACTGGCCGAAAATTGAAAACTAAATACTGAGAACATCGCAACACACTCACCGTGCCTGCACCCGTACAGATCGAGTTGATTGAACAGTCAACGAGCTCCTCGCACACAGGGTATGGATACCCTGGACAAGCAACATTCTGGTCCGCCGCGGGTTCATTAGCCACCTGGCGCTGCATGTTTATAATGATAGCCCAATTCTCCTGCGCATTCGTCGCAGCATCCAGTACAATGAACTGCGTGAGTACAGACAGCGACCACTGTGCCTCGCTCAGAAAGCCGACGACGGAGAACTGGTCGATGGACCCCTCGGACGGCCAGTTGTTCACATTGCCGAATGTCTCGTCTATGGGCTCATTCTGTGCGTGTGTATGCGTATGCGTTTATATATGAGGATGCGTATCGTATGAGTATGAGTACGGGTATGAGTAAGCGCATACGTTTATGCATCACATACACACGTCTATAGGCTCATTTTTGTATAACGGAGGGCGATGTTCATTGTATAGGTAAATCATTACATCAGACACCGTGTATTCGACCCGAGATAAATGCATGCGACTGACAGTGGAAGAAAAATATGCCACCAGCTACCACTTTCATCATACCTGCAACCAAGTATCAATACAAGCACGGGACAAGTGCATGTGACGCCATGAACCAGATACAGTGAAAATGACACTAGGGAATTTCCAACCGAAATACATTAAACATATGCACAAAAACATATGCACAAATTTACCGTGAGAGCGTAAACGATTGGACGCCAATTATGTGATTATATATCGCTTGAACGAACAATAAACACAATAAACACCCACATATCAAAAATATCATTTGGCCACGTTTCAGTATAGTATTTTTGCAGATATTATCCTAGAAACATAGACTCTTTATAACTCTATAGTGTGTCTCGAGATTTCGGTGCAGATTGGCTGCTCTGTGCACCACACATACCGTCCATGCCGGAGAACAGTAGCCTATTTTGTCCGTACACGTTAATAAAGAGGCCGAATACTGCTCACCACCAGGGGGGGTTACTAACTGAGTCTCCGGTGTCAACTGCATGTCCCACACCACTTGTATCGGTGTAGCCTGCCGTGTGTGTAGAGAAGAGAAAGCGACCGTCAGGAATACAGCGGGAATATTATGCTCTAGAAAGATGGGCAAGTTGGTTGTTTGACTTCATAATAGTAGTAGTCAGAATACAGAGTAGGTGGCTTATAAGGTTAACTGGAATTCTACAACGAATGCTAAGCTCGGATTGCTAAACATTGTTCGTGCGATCCACTGCCCGTACATTGCAATTGATGGCACAGACTCATATAGTGTAGTGGGCGAAATATCACACACCATCCTTAGCTGTTTGTCACGATTACTCACTATTGCACACCAACTCGACCATTTTTTTTCTTAATCATATCGTGTGCGATTCTTCACCCTAGTTAAAGTGCCGAACTGTCGCATTCTGGGAGTGCGCGAACACGTCGACGGTGACCGAAACAAAAACTCACCGAAGTTAGGGTCGGGGGTGGTGCCTGCAGTATTGTATACGCCTGGATAAATGGCGGACACTCCACGACAAAGTCATCTTTGAAGCAAAGTGGCACAGCATTGTCTGCTCAAAGTGTAATATAGTATATGGTACAAGTTGTTAAAGTACAACTCGCTCGCTGATTGAGTTACAGTGATGGGCTTCACCGACTTTAATTTGCGGCATATCAAATACAACCCCATCAAAAACATTATACTACATACTGCCACCCGTGAAAGGCGCAGAGAATGACACATATACGCAATGAATGTGTACGTGCTTTCCCTATCTGGGTGCGTGTCAAGGGGTGGGAATAAAACTGCCGTATATCTGTACATCAATCAATATATAATATATATACATATACATATACATATATATATATACATACACACACACACATATATATATATATATATATATATGTATATATATATATGCACACAAACACAAACACAAACACAAACACAAACACAAACACATACACACACACACATACACATACACACACACATACACA